GACGGAGGCAGTATGACCTCTGAAACGTTGGTTAACATTGACCAGACTACACAGCGCAATAACCCAGAAGACGGATATCTTCATGCCACTGGTAGTCAGAAGGCCTACATTTTCTGAAAACAGATAAGGTTTCTAAAGTGTCATATTAAACCAGACAACCTTGTGGTGCTATCTCAGCTGATTTGCATTTTTCTTTACTTAAATGCATGTAGATAACGGAACTTGGTGTTTATTGAGGTTTTGCCTTTTAAACAAATTCTATGAATGTTAGTGAACCAAGTTAAAATATTGTATGTGTGGTATGTCTTCACTTTTTACAGATTTATACTTTTGATGAATTTTGAGAGACTTTGTTAGTGGATAGTCAGTTAGTAATATAGGTCTGGAAGTGACTTGTTAGTAGCCAAAATCAGATTAATCTGAAGGTAAATATGGCACTGCCACACGTAACTCATTGAAGGTGAAGCCATTGCTAAGTTTTACTTTATTTTTTATTTTGTTGTTGCAGTTTTTGGTGTTAAAAGAAATTTTTATCCCACCTTGTCATAATTATTCAGTCTTGTTGGTAAGCCAGCTTCTTCAAAAGAAGTAAGCTCTGAAACATAAGTTCTAATATCACTTCAGATATACAGAACTACTTAGTGTGTTGAGGTGAGACCAAATATGTCTCTTTTTTCAGAATGTACAGAGTTTTTCTGTTTCTGAGAATCGGCAGTTTATGCATTACTGTTCATATTTTCTGAGGAAAAATGTTTAAAAAGAACATGTTTTGTAAACTTCCTGCAACTTATAAATTTTTATCCCATCCTTATCACCAGTCACGACATTTCCTTATTGGCCGAGTCGTACGTTACAGGAGACTTTATTTGCAATAACGAAATTTACAAAATTCTGTATTCTTATTCTCCATAATCTTTACTTTCTGATTCTCATATTTTATAAGCAGGGTTATGCCAGTTTTATAAGTTGATTTCTTTGTATTCATATTTTTAACTTTGAAACATGATCTCAAAGTAAGATATAAAGCAGTAATTCTACAAATTGTTTGTATATATTCATAACTTGGTCTGCTACTCTGAGTGAAGGAAAGAGATTGAAGATTTCCGTCTTCTGGGTTGTTGCGCCGTGTAGTCTGGTCGATGTTAACCAACGTTTCGGAGGTCATACTGCCTCCGCCATCAGAGTATGAAGATTTCCGTCTTCTGGGTTGTTGCGCCGTGTAGTCTGGTCGATGTTAACCAACGTTTCGGAGGTCATACTGCCTCCGCCATCAGAGTATGAAGATTTCCGTCTTCTGGGTTGTTGCGCCGTGTAGTCTGGTCGATGTTAACCAACGTTTCGGAGGTCATACTGCCTCCGCCATCAGAGTATGAAGATTTCCGTCTTCTGGGTTGTTGCGCCGTGTAGTCTGGTCGATGTTAACCAACGTTTCGGAGGTCATACTGCCTCCGCCATCAGAGTATGAAGATTTCCGTCTTCTGGGTTGTTGCGCCGTGTAGTCTGGTCGATGTTAACCAACGTTTCGGAGGTCATACTGCCTCCGCCATCAGAGTATGAAGATTTCCGTCTTCTGGGTTGTTGCGCCGTGTAGTCTGGTCGATGTTAACCAACGTTTCGGAGGTCATACTGCCTCCGCCATCAGAGTATGAAGATTTCCGTCTTCTGGGTTGTTGCGCCGTGTAGTCTGGTCGATGTTAACCAACGTTTCGGAGGTCATACTGCCTCCGCCATCAGAGTATGAAGATTTCCGTCTTCTGGGTTGTTGCGCCGTGTAGTCTGGTCGATGTTAACCAACGTTTCGGAGGTCATACTGCCTCCGCCATCAGAGTATGAAGATTTCCGTCTTCTGGGTTGTTGCGCCGTGTAGTCTGGTCGATGTTAACCAACGTTTCGGAGGTCATACTGCCTCCGCCATCAGAGTATGAAGATTTCCGTCTTCTGGGTTGTTGCGCCGTGTAGTCTGGTCGATGTTAACCAACGTTTCGGAGGTCATACTGCCTCCGCCATCAGAGTATGAAGATTTCCGTCTTCTGGGTTGTTGCGCCGTGTAGTCTGGTCGATGTTAACCAACGTTTCGGAGGTCATACTGCCTCCGCCATCAGAGTATGAAGATTTCCGTCTTCTGGGTTGTTGCGCCGTGTAGTCTGGTCGATGTTAACCAACGTTTCGGAGGTCATACTGCCTCCGCCATCAGAGTATGAAGATTTCCGTCTTCTGGGTTGTTGCGCCGTGTAGTCTGGTCGATGTTAACCAACGTTTCGGAGGTCATACTGCCTCCGCCATCAGAGTATGAAGATTTCCGTCTTCTGGGTTGTTGCGCCGTGTAGTCTGGTCGATGTTAACCAACGTTTCGGAGGTCATACTGCCTCCGCCATCAGAGTATGAAGATTTCCGTCTTCTGGGTTGTTGCGCCGTGTAGTCTGGTCGATGTTAACCAACGTTTCGGAGGTCATACTGCCTCCGCCATCAGAGTATGAAGATTTCCGTCTTCTGGGTTGTTGCGCCGTGTAGTCTGGTCGATGTTAACCAACGTTTCGGAGGTCATACTGCCTCCGCCATCAGAGTATGAAGATTTCCGTCTTCTGGGTTGTTGCGCCGTGTAGTCTGGTCGATGTTAACCAACGTTTCGGAGGTCATACTGCCTCCGCCATCAGAGTATGAAGATTTCCGTCTTCTGGGTTGTTGCGCCGTGTAGTCTGGTCGATGTTAACCAACGTTTCGGAGGTCATACTGCCTCCGCCATCAGAGTATGAAGATTTCCGTCTTCTGGGTTGTTGCGCCGTGTAGTCTGGTCGATGTTAACCAACGTTTCGGAGGTCATACTGCCTCCGCCATCAGAGTATGAAGATTTCCGTCTTCTGGGTTGTTGCGCCGTGTAGTCTGGTCGATGTTAACCAACGTTTCGGAGGTCATACTGCCTCCGCCATCAGAGTATGAAGATTTCCGTCTTCTGGGTTGTTGCGCCGTGTAGTCTGGTCGATGTTAACCAACGTTTCGGAGGTCATACTGCCTCCGCCATCAGAGTATGAAGATTTCCGTCTTCTGGGTTGTTGCGCCGTGTAGTCTGGTCGATGTTAACCAACGTTTCGGAGGTCATACTGCCTCCGCCATCAGAGTATGAAGATTTCCGTCTTCTGGGTTGTTGCGCCGTGTAGTCTGGTCGATGTTAACCAACGTTTCGGAGGTCATACTGCCTCCGCCATCAGAGTATGAAGATTTCCGTCTTCTGGGTTGTTGCGCCGTGTAGTCTGGTCGATGTTAACCAACGTTTCGGAGGTCATACTGCCTCCGCCATCAGAGTATGAAGATTTCCGTCTTCTGGGTTGTTGCGCCGTGTAGTCTGGTCGATGTTAACCAACGTTTCGGAGGTCATACTGCCTCCGCCATCAGAGTATGAAGATTTCCGTCTTCTGGGTTGTTGCGCCGTGTAGTCTGGTCGATGTTAACCAACGTTTCGGAGGTCATACTGCCTCCGCCATCAGAGTATGAAGATTTCCGTCTTCTGGGTTGTTGCGCCGTGTAGTCTGGTCGATGTTAACCAACGTTTCGGAGGTCATACTGCCTCCATCATCAGGGCGATGACGGAGGCAGTATGACCTCCGAAACGTTGGTTAACATCTACCAGACTACACAGTGCAACAACCCAGAAGACGGAAATCTTCATACTCACCGCTGTGAGAACCTCAAGTCTTACAAAGATATTGAAGTTGGAAATAAGTACAAATTAGATGTTTTGTAGAATATTTGTATCTGTAAGCAATGAACTAAAAGGAGAATGGAGAAATGCACCTGAAGACCTGTATGGTTTTGTGTTCTTTGTCTCATATTTTATAATGGTTAAATGGAGGAGACTGAGACAATCTAGAAAATAAGACAATCAAAGCAGTGCAGGACAGTAAATGCATTTTAATTCTACAATTTATATTCCTTTCTTTATCTCCTTAAGAACCCATATAAAGTTTTGAGCATAAATTAAGTGCATTTTACACATATTTATTCATACGATGTAATAAAATATTATTTTGATTATTCCACATATATGTTTGATTGCTTTACTTTATTTTTCGTACTTTAATTTGAAGTAATATTGATATTTCTTTGTTACTCATTATATCAACACCTTGGACAATAATTAGACCCCTAAACAGGGGAACAAAGGCCAGTTACTGTTGATTCTTAATCATGGTTATCCTGCCTTACGAACTGTTTGTTGCCGTCAGCATGCTGGGTGGACTGAAGCTTGTGAAATTTGTTCAGTTGGAGATGATGGCCTGGCTGTAACGTCACTGATGGCTCTGAGAGAATGATTATTAAAAAGTAGGTTCTGCTCTGTTGAATTTGTCTTGTGTGATGAAGATTGCAGTATTAATTTCGATTTGAGTATATGAAAGAATGCTTACCAGGTATGTTATTCCTTAATCCTAAGAATCTCAGCTAATTATATTTCTTGCTTGGTTTAATTTTTTGTATGTTTTCCTAACAGGTTTGTCAGGTGCTGGTAAAACGTCAATAGCCTTTGAGTTGGAGGCTTTCTTGGTTTCACGTGGTATCCCTGCTTACGGACTCGATGGAGATAATATCAGAACAGGCCTCAACAAGAATCTCGGCTTCTCCAAGGAAGATAGAGAAGAAAATATCAGACGAGTGGCAGAGGTGGCCAGACTGTTTGCTGACAGTGGAGTTGTCTCTCTCTGCAGTTTTGTTTCTCCATTTGCAGAGGTAATACGACATGACATTTTTTTATTAGTTGTATAATTTATTTCCTCAAGACATTATAGTTCACCAGCCATTTGCGGTGGTTTATCACCTCCTCACGATCTGTCAATTTTCCAATGAAAATCGCTATTGTTCAGTTAAACTTTTTTGTGATAATCTTCTTCTTCTTGTATGGCTCTCCGGTCCGTATTCGGTCCATGGTCTCCTCAATTCTCCTCTTCCATTCAGTCCGTCTGTCGGAGGCTTTGATTGAGGTTTCAAAACATCTTCCTTTTTACGGTGCAAGGTTGTTAACCTTGTGACCAACCCCCAACCTGGAGGACCAGGGTACCTGTCTTAGTCTGACCTCTCCCCCTCGACCAATCTGGCTAGGGAGGCCCTACCAGTAGCTCTTGGGGTCACTGAGGTACTCAAGCCCCACCACCACGACAAGGTGCAGGTGGGGTTTTTGTGATAATACTCTATGGATTAAAGAAATTGTTTTTTTTTTTGCAACTAATTATCAGACCCAAATGAATACATGGTGATTAATATCGTATTATTTTGATGATCTTTGGCATTATTGTCAAAATGCTGTTTTAAATTAGGTATTTACAGCTGCCATAGTTTGCTGTATCTTTATTGTCCTATTTCCTCACTGCTCTGATACAGAACTTATCCCATATCCTCTATGAGATTGGACACTAAGTCAAGTGCTCAATTTACACTAAAGCACTATGACTAAACGTAAAATGGCCTGATGACATGTCGGAAATACTCTTTCACTACAATTATATAATTGGAAGGAGTGCTTCATGAATTGACAGAGATGTTCTTTATATAATTTTCAAGGACGGAAGGAAATTATCTTCATGTGCCGTTGCATAAGGAAAGCTGTTTAGTTATTGGCCTTGTTAACAATTTGTATTTGCCTTTGTGTTTGGCCATACTAGTAGCCACTGAACCTTCCAAAGTTCATGAAACTTGATATGGATCATACCACAAACATAATGCCGACATGGCAGCAATGTGAACCGGAGTGCTGTGCAGTGGAGCGGAGGCTTGAAATATGAATACAGTATTTGTCGTCATTATCATAAAGTACAAAAAACAACATGATAATTGGTAATATATATATATTTCTTATTACTTGCTTCATTGTAGAAATCCAGCTTGTTAAGATTGTATAAATATGCCCACATGTTTTAAGTAACTTTGTGTATTTCAGTTGAAATTTGGCAACTTAAGTACAGTTGAAGATTTCTGTCTTCTGGGTTGTTGCGCTGTCGATATCGACCAGACTACACAGCGCAACAACCCAGAAGACAGAAATCTTCATACTCACCACTGTGAAAACCTCAAATCTTACTTAAGTACATTTTTATCATGTGTGATGGTAATTCAAAAGTATTTACAAGTTGACAGTGTTTTGATTGTAAAAATGTCTACATATTTATTCTGAATTTTTTATCAGGTATTTTAATAAAAAACTGTGTTATGAACACATATTCGAAGAAGCATGGGAAAATGTAAACGCTGGAGTGCTTGTGAATGGAGAACGATTAAATAACATTCGGTACGCGGACGATACTGTAGTGTTTGCCGACTCTCTGGAAGGTCTCCAAGAATTGATGGATCGTATTGTGAAGGCCAGTACCAACCACGGCTTAGATCTTGACATCAAAAAAAACGAAGCTCATGGTCGTCAGTAAAAATGCTGTATTACCCGGTCAGCTAGTTGTTAATAATTAAAAATAGAAAGCATATCGAAATATACATACATGGGCAACACAATTAATGACCAGTGAGATCACTCCTTGTAAATAAATTGCCTTATTAAAAAAGCCAGAGCCACTTTCATCAAAATGGAATCAATGGTCAGGAGTAGAGACTTAAACTTAAACACCAAATTAAGACTACTCAGATGTTATATTCTCTCCGTGCTTTTATACGGCGCTGAATCGTGGACATTGACCAAAGTTTCTTAAAAAAAAAGTTGGAGGCCTTCGAAATGTGGTTGTACCGACGTATTCTCAGAATTTCCTGGACTGACAGTGTAACCAACAAGAATGTTCTTGAGAAACTCCGCAAAGACGTTGAGGTTGTTAACACCATAAAAAAGAGAAAGTTGGAATATTTTGGTCATATCATGAGAAATAGTGATAGATACGGGAAAAGTATTTGGAAAGATGGGACCTGGCAGGCCAAGAATCTCCTGGCTTCAGAACCTAAAAACTTGGTTCTCGATGGCCACTGGAGGGCTGTTTCAAGTAGCAGCCAGTAAAGCTCAAATTGCTATACTGATCGCCAACATCTGGAATGGATAGGCACTTTAAGATGAACAAGAAGAAGATATGAAGGAGACATAATTAATTTGATCATTTGACCTTATGATGTGAGTTAGCTTCATATACATTATAAATAACTGAGGGATGAGGAATGTATACAAAATTTTGGTTAGGAAGCTTGATGGGAAGATAATACATGGAACACCTAGACACACATAGAAGGATAATATTAAAATTGAATTTAAGGAAATAGAATGGAGTGTATGGGCTGAATTTCTGTGGCTCAAGATAGAGACCAATGATGAGTTCTTGTGAACACAGTACTTAACATTCAGGTTCCATAAAAGTTGGGAAATTTCTCGACTAGATGAGTTTGACTATTCATTTCTCAATAAAAACTCTGCTTCATGAAGTTAATTAGTTACGAGGGCCACTCCAAAAGTAATGTACCATATTTGTTTAAAAATTAAATTTTTATTTCACAACTTTGCTATTCGCACAGTGGATAGGTACAGCCTTTAGGAACGAAATTTTACTTTTTCTGCACAGTCTTCATCTCTCTCAACTGCCTTACGCCACCTCGGAGCAAGGGCGTGTATGCCCGCACGGTAAAACCCTGGATCAGCGCTTTTGAGCCACTTTTTCAGAGACGCCACAATGGAGTCATCGTCCTCAAACTTTGTCCCACGAATACTGTCTTTCAGTTTACCAACAGGTCATAATCTGACGGTGCCAGATCAGGACTATGGTGGGTGTGGCAACACTGTCCACCTTAATTTTGTGATCGCCTCCATGGTTCTCAGACTGACGTGCGTCCGGGCCGCGGGACCCACCTCGCACAGATCTTCGAAAATCCCAACTGTTATAATATTCTGCACACACTGGCTTCTGCAATGCCCAGTCGGAGTGACAATTGTTTAACAGTTATCGTCTGTCCGCCATGATCATGTTGTTCACCCTCTCAACATTGGCGTCCGTCCTCGCTAACTCTGGCCTGCCGCTGCGTGGTAAATCGCGAATGTTTGCATATCCACCTTGGTCTTCTTGGCTGGAACAAACCTGTGGTTTTCACACACATTCTTCACACTGTACTAGCAAATTCATATTTTTTTTAGCGTCTGTTGAATGTTAGTAATTCCTTCAAAACTTATATTTTCACTAGATTTTGGCAAAGTTATAAATATCAATAAATCTGTAGATCATGACATTGTACTGTTTTTGAAGGCTTTCCAGAGAGCTAAATGTTTTACCAATACGATTTCATGTCTTATCCATTGCTTGTGGCAAATAAATTCCATTGTTCTCATCTCTTCATGATGGTATGAGTTTACAAAATTTGAGCCAAGAATACCTTATGAACCTGACTATTTTTGCCTGTCACATTTTTATCCACCTCATATGATCTTGAAAACTTGAGTACCATGCAGTGTATTGAATGCATGGTTTTATACACCTCTTGTGAACTAGGCAAAGCCTGCAGCTTCCCCAAATGGTGCAGCAAACCCAAGGGTTGTACTCTTGAGGGTTTCCCCCACCCCAGGAGCGCCCACTACAGATTTTGTCCTGGTGGGGCTCTTTACCCCATGACCTTTGTTCCCTTGGCTTGCCTGACTTTGGGGCTTGCTCTCCAGAGTTTTAAACCCCCCCTAACTTTCCCAAGGTTTGAAACCATTGAGCATCTACTATCTCAGGTTAGATCACCCAAGGCATGGGAACACCTGGGCTGCCCACCACAGACTTGGCTACACATGGGATTAGGCCACCTCTGGGACCTGCACCCCCTAAAGAAATCCCCAGGCATTTTACCCCACTCTTTCTCCTGGCTATGGTTGACACCCCTTGCAGCTTTACAGACCTAGCCTTACCCCAGCATTTTTGCACCTTGCCACTCTGGGGGCTTCACCCTCAGGCTTCATCTCCCATGCATTTTCCCAGGTTTTCAAAATCCATATCTTTGCTCTCGCTATGCACCCAAAGGCTTGGCCATCTAGAGGGCTGGGCGAGCTCTGAGGTATGTACACATGGGAAAACCCAAGGGTCTGCATTGTGTGGATGACATTGTAATGAGTTTGACTACACTAACCTACACAGCCAGAGAATTACAAAGCTGATGAAATAACTGGGAATGACTCATAGGATCCAGAATGGTTTTCAAGTTCTTTATTTACAAATTGCTGCAACCAGCCAGCCCATTTGTTGTTTCTGGAGGTGAAGCAGCGTCGATTGATATCACATGTTTCTAAGTCAGTGTGCAGATAGTATGAGCAGTGGATTACCTCTCAAATCTAAAAGTTTGTGACGATAGTGCGTTTTTAAAATAAAAGGTTTTCTGGAAGTTTACCATCGTCCTGTCATGAAGGAGGAACATGAGGAATGGACGTTACAATGGTTAGTGTGTACTGTGAAAGCCAGTGTGAATTAAGGACAGACAAAACTGAAAAGATGTAAAGGGAAATCAACAGTGGACAATTATTTCAAATATTATTATTTTAGTTAATTCAAGTGCAGTGGAAAACATTATCAATTTTAATAGAGTTTTTAATAATTCCATCTTTTACTGAAGTGAATTGTTAGTAATGTATGATCTGAAGCTTTCACGGAGGCAAAGTGTAATAAATTCTTCTTGGGCTACCAGCCGTACCCTGAGGACGAGGTCGAAGATGGTTCTTGAAACAGTGTTTTCTTCATTAAGTCACCTTACACGGCCGGTAGCCTGAGAAGAATTTATTAAATTGTTAGTATTTTAAGAAGCTAATCCTTTACAGTATTGTGCCAAATATAGATATTTATGGACTTGTTTTATTTCAAAGTTTAATTAAGATCAAAATTACCTACATAAAGACATTCCCAAATTTAAAAGCTAAAAGGACAACATTCATTGCACTGGTGGTAATCTCATTTGTTCATTATGTTCAGACATTCTACTTTTGTTAACAGGACAGAGAAATGGCACGAAAGATTCATAAAGACAGTGACCTTCCATTCTTTGAGGTATTTGTGGATACACCACTAAATGTATGTGAGCAGCGTGATGTGAAGGGGCTTTATAAGAAGGCGAGGCAAGGCAGTATTAAAGGTAAGCTCAGGACTTTGTGATGTGAATATTCATCTCTTTGTCTTCAATACACTGTATTCATGTGTGAAGTAAAGCAAAGCCATCCCGTTACATGCCAATGTTGGCACTTATGGGAGAGGTGGTATAGCTCCTACTCATTCTCAACCTCGGCACTAGAAGGGGTGAGTGGTCAGCAGCATCCCCCAGCTGTGCATTACCCTTGGGAAAGGACCCCGGTACCCATTGGACAGGAGGCTGGGTGGGCCTCAGCCAGTCTGGATGCTGAGGCTAGAAGGAAATCCTCTGTCTTTGTCGGGGATTGAACCCCCGTCGCCCAGCCTGTAGCCAGTCATAAGTGTTACACAGTATTAAAATGGTGATTATTATTTTTGTTGTTGTCGTCATTTTGTGTGTGGAGGTAGCATTTCTCCTGGCGGTGATGGCCATTCCCTTTCATGTTAGTAAGGGAGACTGACGTAGTGCAAATGTTGTCATTAATTAAACTTTTTATATTTACCTTGCTGAATATGGCATGGTCAGCCAAACCTTTACTGTTAATATTCCTTTTAAAAGATAATGGGTTCCTATCTGTTGTTACATGATGCATGTTTAGTTATGACTGGGCTTCTTAGTATGAGGAATTCTCTGTTGATGTTGCTGTTGAAAGGCTGGATTTAGAAATACATTCGGGGTTGATGAGGAAGAACAAGTATCCCTTTTCTGGCAAATTAACGCTGTGTACTGGAAAGAAAAATTATTTTTATTGACAGTTTAAGATATCTAAGGCTGGGTATTTTTACAGTAAATTCTGCTATTCTGTAAGTGCTGCTGTGCCTCTGACATCCAAACTGAATTAAATAAAGCTCAATAATGAAGGTGATAAATGCAGAAGATAATAATGTCTGGTGCGGAATGATGCACAACAATGCATGACCCATATTTTTAATTCAGGGACAGTGTGTTGGGCACCTAACCCAAAGGAATCTAATCACAGTCTTCCTTCATTCTAGAGAAAGTGTGCCAAATTCTGAGATGTTTTTTTAAGATGGTTTTATTTTAACCGCACTAAAATAGATTCTTCTTCTATGGCTCTCCGGTCCGTATTCGGTCCATGGCCTCCTCAATTCTCCTCTTCCATTCGGTCCTTCTGTTAGGCCCGTCTGTCCGAGGCTTTGATCGAGGTGTCAAAACATCTTCCTTTTTACGGCCTTGTGACCAACCCCCAACCTGGAGGACCAGGGTACCTGTCTTAGTCTGACCTCTCCCCCTCGACCAATCTGGCTAGGGAGGCCCTACCGGTAGCTATGCTACCACCAGCATAGGTCTTGGGGTCACTGAGGTACTCGAGCCCCACCACCACGACAAGGTGCAGGTACCATTAAGTGGGACCCTGTAGTATATCAGTATGGTACCTGTTTCGTCTGTCATAAGTTGTGCTCAACATATTCTGCTTCTTCTTTTCATTCAGGTTTCACTGGTGTGGATCAAGCTTATGAAAAGCCAGAGACTCCAGATCTCGTAGTGAAGACTGTGGAGTGCACAATTGAAGAGAACATGCTGCAAGTGGTTGAGATGCTGGAGGAAAATGTGAGTGAAGTGTGGGAAAATAGTAACGCGAACTCCGCTCGTGTAAGAGCTTCGTACAAGTTATGACTTCTCTGTGAATAGGCAGACAAACATGCTTCATCGATTAATACTTCTGATAATGGTCGTGATAAGTAGCGTGGTGAATGATACTACAGAAATTCGAATTGAATATGAAATTTTGAACATAGCATGTCAGTAATTCTTCTTACTGTTATGAATTACGGTATGTTATGCATTTTATAGGGAATTATTCCTACAACTCTGCGTTCAGCTGATATGGTAGAAGAACTTTTTGTGCCGGAGAACCGTGTGAAAGCAGCTAAAGAAGAGGCACTGCATTTGCCATCACTGGAGATTACAACAGTTGATCTGCAGTGGTTGCAGGTGCTTGCCGAGGGCTGGGCCACTCCTTTGAAGGGATTCATGAGAGAGGATCAGTTCTTACAGGTACTGCCAGCTTTTGTTTCTACCAAATAAAAATTCAAAATGTTGTTCTTGGAGTGACAGCCCTGAGAATACTATCAGTTTTGCATTTTAATAATTAGGTACAGTGACTGGTAGAAAAATTTGTGAATGCAACAAATGTTGGAGAGACAACCCCCCAAAATTATTGACTTTCATTTATGAAAAGAAAATTAGCCAGGGGTATCCACAAGCCAACACAACAGTGCATCATAGACAAAATAGTAGATACATAAAAATGTTCCTTTTGGACAGATGAATATTGGAGAATTGTTGATCTTTCCTGTTTTGAAAATTGGGCAAAATGGTGTCCAAAAACTTGGCTCATTATGGAAAATATGTTAAATGTGATTTTTCTCATGTTGAAGATTTTAATTTCATACAAAGAAAGATTACTTAATAGTGTACTGTAAAAATATATTTGGGAATTGTTGTTGAATGTCAATGGGAATTGCTAATAACTTTTAGTTTCCTGCTTTCAGTAATAATGTAATGGAAGTGCATACATTTGAAGGTTATATCCGACAGATTTAACAAAGAATCTTTACTTTCATAATAGGTTCTTCCCACAAAAATGTTAATGCTCATGATACTACTACTAATAATAATGAAGAACACTACAGTAACTACCATCACATTTCTAGATACAAACAGAACACGAAGTGGTTGCCTATTGGGTCGTAGTGTAGAAGTTTATCATCGTTTCAGATGTGCTTACATTTGCCTGAAACTTTTTTTATGTCACATTTACAGAAGTTTTTAGAGTGGGTAGCCATGATTGTGGGAAAAGTTTATATTTACAGCTTAAAACATTGTAGATAAAATTATAATGAATATGAATATATTTTTTCTTATCTAAAATTTGTATGGCTATTATATAGGTTTATCAGGGACTACTTTAACTTTACATTGTAAAGTTAAGGATTAAATTGTTATATATTGCATATGACAATTTTAAACGTAATATGTATGTATAATTTATTGTTGACAATATTTCTTAACCCTCTGAAGCACAAAGTTCAGCAAATTAATAATTCAATGTCTACCTCAAGGACAGCGGAATGTCTCCATTACAATCACTGATTAACCTGAGAATTGTTGCATAACCCATAAATATTTTTTGTGGAAAGGGTGCAGTTACTGAATGTTCAAGGAGGTCTTACTTGTAGTTATCGCGGTGTTCAAAGGGTTGGACCGAAATAGAAAACATATTTTGCTTAGAAGAAGTGGTTGTCGTGTCTGAAGTACATTAACATTTTTTGAACTATAATTGCTTCTTGTAACACCGTCAGAAGCATAACTGCAAGTTATAATTCATTTTTAGGCTCAGCATTTCAACTGCCTTCTTGAAGGATCTGGTGTGAATCAGTCCGTTCCAATAGTGACGGGATTATCATCATTTACTCTATGCTATAATGGTCAGTGTGTGGCCATCTTACGTAAACCAGAGTTTTACCCTCATCGTAAAGAAGAGAGAGTCTGCAGGCAGTTTGGCACATGTCACAAAGATCATCCATATATCAAGGTAAGGATGTGGTGTATTTTGTAAAGATTGAGCAATTTTTCTTTTATTACGGCCAGAAACTTTTAAATTAAATTTAAATCATGTTAGATTATTGTTATAATTGTTTTGTGGACTTGGGTTTGAGGAGGTTTACACTGGAAATTTATTATCTTTTTATAAAAACTGTACATTTTTATGGTCACAATCCAAGTTCCATACCCAGTTTAAGACTAAAAAAATATTGAGTTCTCATTGAATGACCTGTTTCAGAACAGGATGATTAAGATTTTGGTGACTAGTGTTTTGAACTAAGATTTATCTGTATGTTGTAGATGATCTATGAGAGTGGGGATTGGCTGGTTGGTGGTGACATTGAAGTCTTGGAGCGTATAAGGTGGGGTGATGGGCTGGACAGCTATAGGCTCTCCCCCAATGAGCTCAGAGCCAAATTTAAAGAAATGGGAGCTGATGCTGTGTTTGCTTTCCAACTGAGAAACCCCATCCACAATGGGCATGCTCTCCTAATGCAGGTATGTTGATTGCAGTAATGAAAGGAGAGACATCTTTTATTCACAGTAGCAGTTTACAGGAGAGGAAGTTCTCTGTTTGTGTTTTTGTTTTCATTTAATGATGCTGTATGAAATGTAAGATTTGAGGTTTTCACAGCTGTGAGTATGAAGATTTCTGTCTTCTGGGTTGTTGCACTGTGTAGTCGGGTCGATGTTTACCAACGTTTCAGAGGTCATAATGACTCCATCATCAGAGTATGAAGATTTCTGTCTTCTGGGTTGTTGCGCTGTGTAGTCTGGTCGATGTTTACCAACGTTTCAGAGGTCATACTGCCTCCGTCATCAGAGTATGAAGATTTCTGTCTTCTGGGTTCTTGCGCTGTGTAGTCTGGTCGATGTTTACCAACGTTTCAGAGGTCATACTGCCTCCGTCATCAGAGTATGAAGATTTCTGTCTTCTGGGTTCTTGCGCTGTGTAGTCTGGTCGATGTTTACCAACGTTTCAGAGGTCATACTGCCTCCGTCATCAGAGTATGAAGATTTCTGTCTTCTGGGTTCTTGCGCTGTGTAGTCTGGTCGATGTTTACCAACGTTTCAGAGGTCATACTGCCTCCGTCATCAGAGTATGAAGATTTCTGTCTTCTGGGTTGTTGCGCTGTGTAGTCTGGTCGATGTTTACCAATGTTTCTAATCATCGACCAGACTACACAGCACAACAACCCAGAAGACAGAAATCTTCGATGCTCTATGAGCTGTTCCATTTGCAGTCAGGTGACTATCAGCAAATTTCCTCAAACAATAAATGTGGAACTTACATCATAGACACTTAAGAAAATGCTTAGTTTTATCACCGTTTTAACAGTTTGTGATAAGTTGCCATTTTTGCTTCATATGATGACTGTCCATCTTCAAGATCTTGTAGTTTGAAAGCTGTAAATGCTGTCTCCTTGATTCCTTTTTGTTTGAAAGTCCAGGAGTGGTACATTCATATTATTAATGCTGGAGAAAGGTGGACAGTGGGGAACACATACTGACGGAAATCTTCAATCTACAGATGTCCATAATAATGAGATTTCACAATAAATTACTTGAAGCTTTTGCAGCAACCAAATGCAGTGAATCTTCTCAAGTGACTAGTCACATCGATACTGGGCCGAAGTACAGTGTTTCAGAGACCTTCTTTGCCTACATCATCAGGGAATTATGTGTTGGGTGACTGCTGTTTGTTATTTTTGTACATAATCAGTGCCCCTTCTTATATATGGCTCTTGACGAATGGGGATTGTGGATGAAACCATCTTGAAACCATTCACTTAGAGTCACTGCACCTGGAACTTTATGTTAGTGAGACCCAATCTATACTTTCTAGGAATAGCCAATCATCATCTTAATTTCAGAAGTCTTGTTATCTTCACCATCTTGCCCATATGACAAAACCAATCTCAGACATAAGAGATATCATCAGTGGCAAAGAAAGAAAGGTTCTACAGCCATCAAC